TTATCCAAATATTCCAAGAGTATACTAATAGACCAGCAACGAAAAATTAGAATCAAACACCCCTAGTGGGGTTTTCATAGGACTCCAGATCCCTGGTTGTCAGAGAATGACTGTGGATGATATATGCATCACACAATCAGCAAAAGACAATAAAACCTAGACAGAGGTCTGGGGAGACCTCTACAGACCTTTCGGGAGAGATAAACACAACCGGATTACAGCTCGGCCTCATATGGGTTAAATACCAAGTAATAATGAACACTTGCAAGTATCTCTGTGTTTCATCTTCATGCACAGATATTTTCCCACATTATGGAAAATCTTTTCATTGATCAGAGGTTGCTGTCTTCTATTGCACAGGTAAATCACCAAACCTAGGAAAACTTGGCTCACAGTGTTATTCAATTTAAGCACAGAATGTGTAGTAAGGAAGAGAAATCATAAGTATGCATATGTCTATTTTGTACATTCCAATTACCTACCCACTACCATTGAAAACAAATGAATAACCTTGGGTATACTAAAGAAAACTGGTCTGCCTGACAGCTGTTCAGGCAGACCTGATCGGGAGGTCCATGGAGCCCTATGGACAGGCAGGTGTAAACGGACTTGTGTCTATTTACACCCGCCTACCTCCGGTTCCAACCAGGTGTGGTAAAAAAAAAGGATACCCTACTGACTCCACTCCGTGTGGAAGATCCCTTACTGAAGATGTCTAGAACATGATTACACACAAGCTTCTAGGAAGTTAAATATGGTGTCATCCTAACACTGGTTTACCAACACTGGAGGAAAAATGTCACACTGTGCTAAGGTGTCCATAGATATTAGATGAAAACCTTCCAATCTGGCAATTATTGCCCAGATGGGGATATGATCTAATGTTTGTGGGGTCCCAGGTTATTGTCACAGATAAGGTTTGTCAGGAAAGAAGCACTCAGGTTAGAAAACATTGCCAAATAGTTATTGTTTACTGTCTGCTCAGCCAGCGCTATAGGTGTATGCAGTGCACCATCCCTGACTTCCTCTGTAGACCTAAACATACACAGTTGTACATGGTGCTCTTTCATTTTTAACGAACAGCTAATCTTTTTAGATGCCCAAGAGTGGTTAGATCATGCCTTCACATTGGACAGCCCTCTAATAACTATGGTAGCCTCTACATTATAGCCTCAAAATGTGGAGTATTCTAGTAAGGTAAAGGGGAATTCCAGCATCTACCACACCATTTTCTAACAATACAGAAATGCCATGTGTCCTGTATAAGCTATTAAGCAAATGCAGCCATTAAGAGGCTTAACATAAATTATACATCAAGAACACATTTGTATTGGTATGTGCTCTTTAAAGCTTATAAGAGAGCTTCTAGAGGAACAATTGTCACTTTTCAAAAAAAACAGACTGAATTTTGCATTGGAGAGATGAAGGTGAGATGCTGATTTGGTTGAGCTGCCCACGTACACATTCAGAAAGAATGCAAGCACTGCAGGTGGGATCAGCTACAGGGAGGGTATAACAGGTGAAGTTGCATTCTGTAGAATGTGGAACTTTTATACATTATCTATATTTTTGAGTGGTGATTCAACAGATCCACAGGTAAACTGGAATCTCCTCTTACACTTGAGTGGTTACTATAGGTAACAAGCCAGTTCCCTTACCCCTTTTAATATAACTCTTCATACAATAGTGCAAAAAGAAGTGCAGTTGTCCACAGCAGCCAATCAGATTCTAGTATTCATCTGCAGGCTCATAAAACAGGATTTCTATTTGGTTGTTACTACAGTTTGGACATTGCTTTGTCTTGCCAATGTGCTACAGGAGCAATGTTAACATTTTAAACTTGTACTCAATGTTAGCATTGTCTTTCCATCTCTTTTAGTATTAGCTTTAGACATTCCTTTGGTATAATGTACAAGACAACAGCTATGGCTATTGCAGCGTCATAATATTACAAATGGCCAAGAACTGTAGAAATTGTGTTGCTGCAGAATGAATGTGAAGAGCAAATAAAGACAAGCTATGACAAAAATAAAGATGTTCTGACTGCTGAACCAAAAAAGAATGAGTGAATCAGAAACTACAAGAGAAAAGAAGGTGTTTGAGACTTTGAGAGTAGGTGTTGCTGTTTAATATGTGTTCTCTTCATGATGTCTCTTATGACAGACATGAAAATGAGATTTGCATCATCCTGTGACTTTGCTATGGAAATATTTAAGAAAAAAAAACCGGGAGAAGGACAAATGGGGGGAGCAAGAATGAAGAGGACAGGAGGTGTGGTAATGAAAAAGACAGGTGGTGAGAGCAGAGGTGAGCCAGGACTGTGGAATGAATGCAACATTAGCTGATTATTGCAGGCTGTCACTCCAAGAGCTCATTATCCCGTCTCTCATTGTGATGATACAATAACTTCCGCCAGGAAGAGAGCGTGAAGGGAGCAGATTAGTCTTATGTGTGGGGAATCAGAATGGCTCATAGCTGCTGGAGAGGCTGGGCAATCTGCAGTGTCATATAACATGCAATGAAATATAAACTATATAACCCCTGAAGTGAGACATAACCACTGAAGTGCCTTGCACAAAAAGGAACATCAAACTGCAATTCTTTCACCTAACCAACTGTTTGTCAAGCTGTCATCTCCTGCAGTGCAATATCATTCTGCAGTATGCGTATTCATTCTCAAGCATTCCACTCATTTCCTCTGTACTCTTTCACTACACAGTCAGAAGAGTAATTCTGGCAAATGGTTAGATTATTAGAAATTGAAATATCCACAAAATGGTATATGAGAAGGGAACATCAAATAACTGGTATACAAATTACATGAGTCAGGGGGGTGCCTAGTAACACAGGGTGTTACAGAGGAAGTACAGCCAACAAGAGAAGGTGGATCTGATGGAGAGCTGAAGACACTCCATCGGAGAGAAAAAATGGAGCATGCACAGTTAGGAAAGTGATGAAACAAGGGAAGTGAAATAGAAGACCCATACTGCAAGACAAGGAATAATGGTAAAAGTGCTATAAAAAAGGGTGAAAGGAAAGAAACGTATTAAGCATAGATTAGCAGCAATATTTCCATTAGTCTGGTCATTTGATCAGACACGAAATGACTAAAGAGAGTACAGCAAACGCTGACTGTCTCTCATCCATGCAGATACATACAGTATATCAGTCATAGGCAGCAGCATCAACAGACTCTGTACTGTCCAGTCTTTCTAACCAGGGAAGTAAGGAGCAAGGCAAGGCAATAAAGACATGGAGTTCTAAATGGGCCTGCTTTGCCAAGAGGACCCATAAATGGCCCACAGGCTTGTCTGGAAATTAATAATAAGTATAGGACTGGCCACTGTTGCATGAAACAAAACAAAATGATGATGGAGATAGACTAATCACATAGAAATAAAAAGTAATCAGTTGTGAACAAAAAAATGGCATGCATTAAGAAAAAGCAAGCTAAAAGTAGAGGTCATTAAAAAATGGAGTGTTGTGTACAGCTCCTAATAGCCTGGGCTCAGTCCAAATATGCCATCCAATAGATTTATTGCTTGCACAGTTTGGACACCAAAGTGCCATTTTGATCATTTAGTATTGCACTGTTGTAAAGAAGTGCTTTGGTAACAAACAATTTTTACCAGCGGAAACCCTGTTTGGCAGACATATTTAGGGCCCCCCAACCTTTTTAATTTAATTCCTTTGTGTACAGGGTCTAAAAAAATGATCAGATAAAACTAGAGGTGCAACAGGCATGAAGAAGAATGTATGAAATTTGAAGAAGAATTTTCAAAACCTAAAGATTACCTCCACATTTCTGGGCAATTTGCAAGACAGTGAATTAAAAATGATTGCAAATAGCACCAATTATGTTTTGTTATATATTATTCCTCCACAGGCTTCTGAAATATCTCCTGTGTCCAGTGAGACATGTTCAGATTTTACTAGTTGCCAAGGGTACACGGCTGTCTACACCTGTCATTAGTTGTCTACAGCATGCCTGCCTGGCACCAATTTGAACATTTCCCAGTGGGAATAATGAATACTTTAAAAACCTATAAAATGATACATGCCATTTACAAAGTTTATAATTTTTGCTCTTCTGCCATAAAATATTAAACTTGCCAGAAAAGTGGAACTAAGCTTTAATATTTAAAAAAAAAAATGATAACAATTAGTCATTTTTCAAGAAAAAAAGGACTATGAAAGATGAACAAGCCAGGAAAATAAATAAGGCAACAAGAGGGAAATTGGATGACTATTCTGTATACATACATACATACATTATTTTATTTAGAGACATTCCTATATTTCAAAAATAACATCAATTCTTTTTCCTCCCAAAATAGACCTTGTTGTACCCTATGGGAAGCAGACCACCTTCTCCTGGAAGTAGATAACTATACAACAATCCTCCATATTATAAGTGATAATGTCCAAACAGGGGTACGGGCCAATTATACTTCAAGCATGTGTTTCAATATAGAGACAGATGGAAGAAAAAACAGGGAGAGCTACATTTAACATTAACCCATTCAGCATTTTAGGGGTTAAGGCGAATGAATATCGCGGGAAGGGAAGACAGTTTAACCTTTGAGCTCCCTCTATTCACGCAGTGTAGAAAAGTTCACACCACAGGAGCTCAGTAACCCAATTGACCCTGTGCCCAACGACCAGAGTTAACCCTTTATCAACCAAAAGTGTTATTGCTCATAAATATAGAGTTGTACATCCGTATACATATATACACCTATTATATATAGAGGGAGAGAGTAAAAGTCCTTTCGTGTCACAGATTTTGAAAGCACAGATGGTCACCTGACAATTTAAATGCCCATGCATTTTCCATGCAAATCCTCCCATGCACATTCAGACACCGGAGGAGGAGACCCATAGTCTTCAAAGTTTGGGGGTCTCCCCCTCTGTATGTTGCAGTCCTTTTAGGATTGGGGAAGAGGCAGGAGAAACTCCTGAAAGTTTGTATAAGTTCATGGCTTCTTATCCCCATGTCACTACTTCATGCCACTGCGCAAGACCTGATTTGCTGCTATTAGCATCACACTGATGATGAAAGCGATGGCAAAGGCGCAGATTAAACTCTTACGCACGCAGGTCTGGCGGATTTGTTGATTTGGGGAGCCTGAAACAAAGATGTATCAAAATAAAACAGGACTCTGTTAGTAGTCATTCTAACAAGAAAAATGATTGGAGTTTGTTGTGAAGTGTATATATATATATATATTTATATATATATATATATATATATATATATATATATACACATACACAGACACAGGCTGATGAGGACAACATGCACACAGCATGAAATTAGATTTTTCAAGTACAAAGCGGACAATGGAGATCACCCAAGCTCCAATACATGGAAAAACAAAAAAAAGTACAATCTGCAGCACCTAGATGCTTCACATTGGACTTTTTTGGGGTTTTTTATACATAGATAGATATTATTAATGTAACACATCTATCATAATTTACAATATTAGAAAGCTCATCTTTTGGTTTTGAATATACAGTATCTTAAAGGACTTTCACCCATGCTGGTTGAATTTAGCATCGTTCACTGTAAGGTGCGTGTATGGCTTATTGAACTATACAGGTGAAGATAAAAGAGATTACCAGCTTTCAGAGAGGGTGCTTAACAGATGTCAAACTGCAATGCAACACCCAAAAATGTTACAATCTAATTGTACAATCTCGTTTAGATTTATCTACAACTATGTCATGTGAGGGCCTACCTAATAAGATAAAAAATTAATGGATTATTTAGGTCGACCCCTGCACTGCAAAATGGTTGGCAAATCTAACTGGGATTGCATAGAGATGGTGCAATCAAATTGTAATTTGTGCAGCAGGGGTGGACTTACAACTCATGGGGCCCCCGGGCAATAGGGGACCATGGGGCCCCTGTGTCCTTGCCCACACTCAAAGCACACCCAAAAAAGCCTATAAAAATGACCAGGGGCATTTCATGGGGCCCACTACTGATCCCGGGCTCTCGGGCAATGTCCGAGTGCTTGAATGGTCAGTCCGCCCCTGGTGTGCAGTTAGCTTAAAGCCCAACTCCAGCCTAAACATTTTTGTTTTGCACAAAGGTCGGGAAGAGTTAGAACGTCTGCCAGGTTTTAGTTATCTGTGTCCTTGATGAGAAGATCTATCCTCTCTTCCTGTCCTGGTGACAGGATGTCATTAGAGCAGGAAGTAATAGGATATCTCTCTGACAGGAACAGATACAACAAACAAGTCAATTTATTATGTGGATTGGCAAGGGATTAACACACCTGTTAGGTCTTCTTGACCCAATGACACTCACACCCTCTGATTATTTATCATGTGTCATTTAGGCAGTGGAGGGGAACTTTCTCATTGAGAACACAGACATAAATAAAAACACATGACAGAAGCTGCAATTCATACCCATACTATCAAAAAACTAAAAGCAAAGCTTTGGCTGGAGCTGGGTTTTAAAACATTCTACGGGAAAAAAAGTTTGGGCTGGAGTCCCACTATAATGAATTATTAATTGGTTTTAGAGGTAAAACATGCATACATTTTTAAATAATAGTATAAAAATATAATTTGTATCAAGCATCAGACAGTGTTTGCTAGTACCACATAGCAGATATAAATGCACAATAGCTCATATATCAACACATTATTTGCAGTGGATTCAAAAAATCATTATGCAGACCCTCCAACATGACCCAATCCATGTGATGCAAAATATTTCACAACTGAAATCTCAATGATCAATTTAGCTGTCAGGTGAATTAATGTCACTCAATTAAATTTTGCAAGGAGTGTGTATACCTAGCAGATACTATATTTTTAGAAGGATTAAATGAAAGCCCAGAAGCAGAGAATTAGTACCTTATGAAATGGGATTTGTTAGAGGACACAATTGTGGTCATGGGCCCCCAAAAATGAATATAATTTTACAATAAAGAACTCATTGTAGTGCCAGCTTTAACTTAATATGTTAACATACAAACCTTTTCCAAATATATATTGGCCTTATTCAGTACTTGTTCTTGAGGAGGCCCTGCTAGAGGTTTTAATGAATCACACTGGTACTCCCTTGCGATAGAAGTGGTATTTAACACTTCTATGAGTGTCAGATATATTATAATCTATTTTTTCAGGTAGGTCTGTATGTGATATGTCTGCATGCTACCTCTACTGTTGCAGGGGAGTTCCAGTTTAATTTCCTTAGAACAGCCTTTTTCAACTAAGCTGCTGTGGTACCCAGAAGTGCCTTCTAGGTCCTTCAGCAGTGCCTTGGCAAAATGCATAAACATTGTCCCAAATTGCCAAAAATTGTGCAATAGCCAGTGGGTGGATCAAGCCTGCTTATACTGTTATACAGTACAAAGCCACAGGTTTCCACTGTGCAGCATTACAAACTTGGGCACTGTGTGGGCCAGCTGCAGGCATCCTAACAATAGATTACATCATTGGTTGATAAGGAGGACATTGGGTTCCTGCACAGCATTCTTGTCTGCCCCTCTCCATCAGCACTGGCATCACATTAGCTGAGTGAGGGAGGAAAAAATGCTGGAATACTAGTTAGAACTAGCACAGGTGTATTTGCTTTGTAAGGATAAATCACCTCTAATGTTGTGTGCCCAATGTGTGTGTGGATGCTGCTGCATACAACTAGTAGTTGAGTTTTTTACATTTACAATGGGGTGCCTCAAGAATTTTAAAAGGCTGACTTGACTGAAAAAAGGTTGAGAAATACTGTTATAGAGTCCTTATAAGTTCTCCTTGAAGTAAACCTTGTGATTAGGCTCCATCCCTTCTGGTGCTAAGTCCCCCTCCTTCATTCAACTATCAAATGTCAGAGCCTCTACTGCCCACTGATGTTCTGGCTTTTTGAGATTGGGTTACTGGAGCCTGGTTTAGAATCCAGAGAAAGGCATCTAAATCTCACCATAGGCAGAAATTGTTAGCATATTTATATTGTAGTGAAATTGCATTGGATGTTCACCAAACATTTCTGAACTGCAGTTCTGAGTTAAAAGATGAGCTAAAAGGGAAGCATTGGGACTGTACCAATTCACTCATTAGGAACAATACACACTTTCAGTGTAAATCCTTTCATTAATATCTTCAGAACAGGTTACACATTTATAACATCCAACATAGTCCAAATTACCTTTCTGTTAAAATGTTATAATAAATCCAAAGAATGATTCAACAGACTGTAATGCCACAATGGTCTTTACCAACCTACTTCTTGTTGCTCTGAATTTAATTTAGTCCCCACAAGGAAATGTTACAGGTGTAAGACTCTATGACAATATTACCCATATACAAATGTCACGTATTAGGTTGTTCCTTTGTTATATTTGTACTGTAGTAGATAAAACCCCATATAGTAGTTTTAGAGCCTAAACTGCATGTGAGTGAACTTTACATTGAGGACAAGCTGAGTAGACACTCTTTATGATTCCATAATGCACCCATGTATCAAATAATGTTAGTGTGGGCCACAGATCCATGTAAACAGAACTTGAATCTGGGGCATGCACCAAGTGTGGTGGCACACTGAGGCTGCAGTGTCCATACTGAATCTCTGCCCTCAGGGCAGCTGAGCTTCCTCCTGCTGTTGCAACTGTATACAGACAGCACACCATCGAGGAATTTTGTATCTGGGAGGGCAGAGCCTGATTGGGATTCACAGACACCAGTTCCCCATCAGCTTTGGCTTGAACTCTGGCACTAATTCTCCATCAGGTCTTCTCCCCTTGTGATTGAAAGTAGACAATGAGCAGATCCTTAGCCACTAGACAGCCTGCTATTGGCTATAAAATCTGCCCAGTACCTACTGTCAATAACTGTCAATATCAAGGAGAGAGGGGACCAGATGGAAAACTAATGTCATATCCGCCTTCCCCCTTAGGATCCACCCACTGCTGTGTCACTGGTTGCTAGGAGGCCGTCCACTGTGAAGTCAACAGCATCCTCAACAACCAGTGATGGGGAAGAGGTTGCAGTGGCTAATATGTTACACTGAATACAGGAAAAGGCACTCTGCCTGTTTCTGTATGTCAGCTTGCAGTAGATTTTAATTACCTCCAGTTTCATTATATACAAACTGGAGTCAATTATTTTTTAATTTGGTGTATTATTAGCATCACTTTGTATAACTGGCCCTAATAAGAACTACTTTAATCTGCCCCATGTGTCAATAAAGTTACCAAAATGGTTGGCAGAGATTTCTGAATCTGGCACAAGCCATTTTAAAAGGCCATAGCGCAAGAAAAGTGTTGGTTCTGCTTTATTGAATTCCCATGGCAATGTTTCCACCTTATGCATTTATGTCCACTTATACGCAACTGCAGATATCTTATCGATGACTAGACGAGTGTGCGAAGGCCAACTATATCTGCTGCATATTGATGCATAACAAATTGGGTTACACTATAAAAATTACTCTCTTATTTAATTTGCAACCATCTGATTTTTTTTAAATTTCATAACTGTGATATGTTGCTTCCTTACAACTATTATGACAATGCTTGAAACAGAATATTCTCAGAAATGTAGTTTCTTGCCACTATGCTGAAGTCAAACTAAACAAAAAACATAAATAGTGATTGATTGTTATGGGGTAATACACTTGAAAAATAGCGGTCAAGAACAAGAACTCCTTGTTGAAAAAGGCAGTATGTGATAAAACATGATATCTCTCTATCTACTAGAATTACTGAAGGAGCAGATTTGATTTTGTCAGTTGATCATAATGGAATGCTACTAAATATAGTTAAGGCCAAAAATGTGTAATCTCTCTTCTAAATAGAGTAAAAAAAATCAGAATCAGCGTTTGTAATTATCTTAATGTGTTGATATGTACAGTACTGTGCAAAAGTTTTAGGCTGGTGTGAAGAAATGCTGTAAAGTAAGAATGCTTTTAAAAAATATATACTTTAATTGTTTATTTAAACAATTTACAAAATCGAAAGTGAGTGAACAGAAGAAAAATCTAAAACATATCAATATTTATTGTGACTACACTTTGGCTTTAAATCAGAATCAATTCTTACACTTGCACACTTTGTACACTTGCAAAACGTTAGGGATTTTGTAGGATTAGAGTCAGTTGTATAATTAACATATTATGCCAAGCAGGTGCTAATAATCATCAATGTCATATGTAGGTTGAAAGACAGCCATTAACCAAAACAGAAACAGCTGTGTAGTAGGCTTAGAACTGTGTCAGAAACAGCCAAACTCTGCTACTAAGGTGTGGTTGTTGAATGCAGTTTCTGTTGAGGACCATAGATGCAATGGTTGGCCATGGAAACGTAATGCAGTAGAATAAAGACACATTATTCTTCTTTCCCTTTGACATCAGAAGATATCCAGCAGTGCCATCTGCACAGAACTTGCTGAAACCATTGGGACCCAGGTACACCCATTTACTGCCTGGAGAAGTCTGGCCAGATGTGGTCTTCATGGAAGAATTGCAGCCAAAAATCCATACCTCCGATGTGGAAACAAAAGCTAAGCAACTCAACTATGCATGAAAACATAGGAACTGAGGTGCAGAAAACTGACAGCAGGTGCTCTGGACTGATGAGTCAAGATTTTAAATATTTGGCTGTAGCAGGAGGTAGTTTGTTTACTGGAGGTCTGGAGAGTGACACAATAATCAGTGTCTGCAGACAACAATGAAGCATGGTGGAGGTTCCTTGCGAGTTTGGTGGTTGCATTTCAGCAAATGGAGTTGGATATTTTCCAAAGATCAATGGTATCCTCAATACTGAGAAATACAGGCAGATACTTATCCATCATGCCATACCATCAGGGAGCTGTGTGTCCGGCTCCAAATTTATTCTGCAGCAGGACAAACATACAGCCAATGTCATTAAGAACTATCTTCAACGCAAAGACAAACAAGGAGTCCTGGAAGTGATAGTTCGATCCCCACAGAGCCCTGATCTCAATGTCATCAAGTATGTCTGGGATTACATGAAGAGACAGAAGGATTTGAGGCAGCTTACATTCACTGACGATCTGTGGTTAGTTCTCCAACATGTTTGGGACAACCTACCTGCATTTTGAGTTCCTTCAAAAACTGTGCGCAAATGTACTTAGAAGAATTTATGCTGTTTGAAGGGAAAGGGTGGTCACATCAAATAATGATTTGATATGGATTTCTCTTCTGTTCATTTACTTTCTATTTTGTTAATTGATAAAAAAATAAACTATTAACACTTCTATTCCTAAAAGCATTCTTATTTTACAGCAATTTTTCATACCTGCCTAAAACTTTTTGCTCAGTAATATATGTCAACTGTGGTTCTGCAAACCCACTGCATTCACTGATAAAAAGAAAAATATAGATGTACAGCAGTAAAGATCACACTTACTCTCCATATCGACAGGACAGTCCCCTCTTGTACCTAGGTTCCCAGCCTCTTCAGTCAAAATGATGTTCTCAATGTCACGCATGGACAGGTGCTCGCAAAACGTGTCATAGAGTAACCTCTTCAGTTCCTCCACTGACAGTGACTGCATGTCACACTGCAGGGACACACCAGGGATATGGGGTTCACTGCTCAGAGGACATCAGACTGATAAACGTGACTGATAAAACTGATATTAATCTAACAATTGCATGCTACAAACACATCGTGAGAAGCATAAAGCTAGGCAGGTGCCACATACAAACACACACATAAACACAGACAAACACACACAACTTTCCATCTTGCTCTGACATGAAAATGCATGCACATTACCTTCCAAAACACAGTGTCAAAATCAGCACCATGAAACTTGTCTGGGATCCCAGAAGTTGTGATCTTTGGTCCCAATAACGTTACAAACTCTTCAAAGTCCACCTGACCATCCCCTGGAAAAAAAAGGGTTTAAGACACATTCGGAAAATTGTAGTGTGTGGGAAAATATATCTACATGCAATCAAAATATAATTGTCACATTAAATTGTAGTGATAGTTCAAACAAAATTAATAGTTAAAGCCCAACTTTAGAGAACTGCACAGTCGCTGCAAGAGTTAAATGCTTGTTTAGTCTAGGGGAGAGTAAGTGCTTTTTACTTAGCTGAGCCTCTGCTTCCCCAGCACTTGGGCAGTAGACTGTTTCTTTAGGACCCTGCATTGGTCTTGATAATGTCAGGACCTTAGACCATGTAGGGGAAAAGCCGCTGCTAGGACCAGTTTGCTAGCGAGGAGGAGCGGAGGATCAGGTAAGTAAGTCTACATTAACAAGTCCCCTAGATATAAACGAGCAAATAACTCTTGCAGTGTAGGTGTAGTCCCACTACAAGGGAAATTTTTTATGTTCCCAAAATTGGACTTCAAATAAATATAGTTTCAAGAGATCAAAATTGAGAAGCTCTTATTTACTTCTTCATCAAAAGTGGCTTGCCACAGAATAATCAGTAGCCTCTCACTTCCAAGGTTGTCCCCTTTAATGCACATGCTATAACAGTGCATGATGGGCTTAAAGTATGAGCAAAGTTTTACCTTTAGTTTTGCGTTAACAAAAGAAGTAAACCTACAATGGATACCTGTGATTATTTACATTTTGGCAACAAGGTAGCAAGGGTGGGGCCAAGGCTCAGTCTTTTTGGGTTCTGTAAAATATTTCTTTGTCTGTGCCTTAAATATATGTTGTCTCTGAGACCCTTGTAGGATTTGATAACACCTTAGACAGAGCATGCTACTCACTTCTTCTCTTCTGATTTACACAGAACCCACTCTTGGCTGAATCAAACATGTACAGTAGAAGTGATAAGAAAACAACAAGCTCTGGATGATCAAGTTGCATAAACAAAACATACAGCAGAACCATAATTCCTCCTTAGACCAGTGTCATTAAACCAATTAGCAAGATATCTCTTAAGAAAGCCTGCTAATGGCTGTTGTACCATTGCATTAACATTTCTAGCAGTAGCATAAACAATACCCAGCAGTAGTTTAGCAAGCCAGAGCACTGATAGCCATCATAAAACAGAATTAAGCACAAACCTTTAATTAGGCACAAGGAATATACTTTTGGGTCTGTGTCTATTTGACCTGAAACTCCCCTTTTCAACCCAGCTCTCAAATTCTACAGATAATCCATAAAATCTGATATGATAAAACTACAATAATAACAAGCATTTACCCAAATGTGTTAAATTAAATTAAATTATAATTAATTGACATTATATATACTGTATATCCGAGGCAATCAGGTTTGGTATTTTACAAATGGTAATTTTTATTTGTGCAATAATAGTTTGGTCACTAAACTGTAAAATGGGGTAGTTTTGAAATATGAATACAGTTAGAGAAATCAACATGAAGGGAGTGTCTGTTAAACTGTCCTAAAATATTTTGACACCTAATCAGCCACCTCCTCAGACCCTTTCATTGGCTGTGTAATTTCTGTGTCCACCCTCCTTACCAGAATGGATAGCTGCAACTGAAACTCACGAGTTCTCAATTTTCCTAAAACTATGTGCAAATGCTACCAGTCATCTCTGAGGGCCAGTGACTCTGTCAGAATACAACTTATGCTGCAATGAATTGGACTCAGAAGCAAAGACCAGATGGACTTTTTGTTTTTAATCCTACCTATTTTGCTGTTGCGTTGTTTTATAATATCTTCTGTAAATCTTTGGTTTGAACCATTTTTTTTTTTTTCTTTCATTCAAATATTTAAAAATCATTAAGCTGAGTCTCTAAATGCTTTAAATAAGAACTTAAAGAATCATTGCCTCTTTGAAAAATGTTACCACATTTTAAACCTTTCTGTCTGTGTGGCACCAAGCATCACAGACATTTTCTGAAGGTCAAAATTGCTACAAACACATACTGTGTCCAGTATGTGTTTCATTAAAAACTGAGGACGCAACTACTGTTTGTGTGTGTAAAGAGTCAACTATGGCATTAACCGACCCCATAGGTGCACACTTTCAGATTGTTGTCCTGGTCCCTCTGAAGGATGAGGCTGAGCGTGCCATTGTCATATATTGCTGGCAGTGGTGGGATCTGAAACTGTCGTCACACTAGGCACCTCCCTGCCTTTCCCACACTAAAAATGTGTCTAACTCATCTTTCTGAAATGAGCATTACTCAGAGTGTTTTGCCATATAAACTCTATTATTATTATTATTATTATTATCATCTATCATACAGACCTTTGAGGCAGAAGATAGCCTCTTAGCAGCAGTAAATCTTTAGGTTGTCAGCAGATTGGCCTATAGTTGCTCTGATTTTCAGCATAGTGCCATAAAATAGAGAGAGCCTGTGCATATGCAGAGTAGGGTGGGACAGTGTATTACTGGATTTTAAACAGTATAGGGCAGACTTCCCCAACCTTGTTGACACAGAGGAACCCTTGAAATAACTTTCCAGTCTCAGGGAACCCCTGCTAAAATCACTAAATCTGTAACTCATGATACATTAGTGTGATGGTCAGGGAGGAATGCTCCTTACATTTGTGGTAATTGGGAAGAATTTCCCCCTTACAGAAATTATCTGAGAGGCAGATAATGTTTATTGCTCAAGGAACTCCTGGGAACCTCTGGAGGAACCCTAGTTGAGAAACCCAGGTATAGGCACTTATTTTAATGTTTTACATAGCTATACCTATAAAATGGGCCAGTGATCTAGCAGGACATAATTTTATTGTGATGCCTCAAAAATGATGGTTCCATCCTTCTGGAAAGGAAGGGGGGAGTACTTTGATCTGGGAGATGGGATGGAAGATTATAAATAATAAGGGTTATACACATTACTTCCATAAGAATGCATGCAAAAGATATATCTCATGCACAATGGAGGGTTTGAAACTCCTGTGCCACACCTTACCCTTTTGAAAGTCTTCTATCCGCCCATTTTTCTCCAGGCAGGTTGGTATCCTGCAAACTCCAGGCAGGTTGGGATCTGTCCTATTGCTTGCACATATCAACATGCATGATCACAGATGTTGTGTATTTGTTCCATGTGTTGTCATTTGAGAAAATTTCTGCTTTACAATCTGTGAGAGATTGTAGGAAAAGTTGGAGCAGGAATTTTGTGTGATTATTAAACATGGTGACCTGTTAGCTGTCTGTCTACACTGCTAAGGCACAACAATGGCAATGAGGACACTTAAACACTCTGTGCAGGTTGCAGAGAAGTTTATTCAGTACCCTGAAGAGCCTGCAGAAACTTGGCATCTCTGATATGAACAATTTTAATCTATTTACTAGAATCTTGCATGGATGGGACCTCTTTTTACTTTAGGTTCATTAGGTTCCAAAGGCTATTGAACTTTCTCAAATTTGCGAGCAGATTATTTATGCAACGTTACAGTACTAGTCATGGAACACAATTTTAAACCAGTCACAAATGCTTTAGTGGCCAGAGCTTGGTTTTGCAGATGTCATCAAAGTGAGGGAGAATCTATCCACCACAATGTTGCTGAGTTGAGAGAGCAGCAGCCTGCAGATTTGGACCCTTACATGATGAAATGATTGAGGACCAGTTTATTGAAAAGACTACAAACCCAAATGTAGGGAAAGGCTACTTATGAAGCCAGATACACTAACTTTGCTATGGATATGGGGCGGCAGATGGAAATAGCTGTGCAGGAAGCCAGAAATATGCTGTTCCCCAAATACTGTACGGTAATAAAGCTTCTGTTCAAGTGCAAAAACTCACTGATAGCACACCACTTACACATTGGTTTAACTGCAGAGGTCACCACCTTGGAGGGATGGTTCTCAAGAAGGGAACTACCACTTGAAATCATTACTGACAATGGTCTGAGACTTTCCTTAAATCAAAGGGAATAAAACACATCCTAACACCACAATACCATCTACAGGCCAATAGAGATTTGGAACATTTTAACCAGACATTTAAAAATGGTCTAAAGACACATCTGCATGAGGGACAACTCTTCAGCAAAGCTGTAAATACTGTTCTACAACAGTACAGGTTAGGTCCTCATAGCACCTAAACCTACGAGCTAGATGGAGAGGTACCTAGTCAAAGCAAAAATGTACAGTGATGCAAAAAGACAAAGCCAAGACAGCTACCTTCATTCCTGGCCGGTGGTTGAGGATGAAAGAGCCATCAAAGCAAACAAGTCATAGTTTAGCCCCAGTCTATCTAATCTTGCATTAATCCACAGTCAATTGGGATAAGAAACCTATAGGCTGGAGGATGGATCAGCTTGGCATGTGAGCAGGTTACAACCTGTGCAAGATACTTTGGTTGGGTACTACTCCTAAAAGGCTTAATTGGGATTGTGTGTCTAGTCCTACCACACAGCCACAAACATTTGGAAGACCAGACATCAACTCCCACTCTTGTGAACTGAGCAGTGGAACTATGTTTTTATAATATCATCAAATTTTGTAAGGGGGGGGGGGCAGGGGAGAGGTGTTGTACACTTATTAAGTTCTGTGCATTGCCATTTTAAGAAAATGGTATGGCATGTCTGCTTTAAGAGCTATAAGAGATAATAGGAGTTGGAGCAGAAAGTGTGTATGAATAATAAAGATGGTGACCTGTTAA